TCTGGATTTTGTTTCGACCATGGCTCGAGCCTTGCCCCTGACAGGTGGCAGTGTGCACCACTAACCGCTTGAACATCACGGCCGACGCTAGAAGCATACGCTCCATATTTAAAAAGTTTATCGGTGTGATGTTTTTTATTGAAGACATCTGATGTCTGGCGCTACGAGTACAAACGTGGTCCCGCAAAGTCGTTCAGCTTCTCTGTGTTGTCGGAGTCCGACTCTATTGCCGCGGATTTACAGCCTTCCAGGATACCTACAAATTCCGCTTGGAAGATGCTTGTATCCTTTGCCAATCGCAGAGACAGAGCAACACCGAGTTCCTCGGAGTAGACACCCACTCCCACACCGCAATCCATCTGCGATCCTTCGGTGTATAGAGCGATAGCCCCTCAGTCTTTTCTCCAGTCTTTTCGGTATGGGAATTACACTTGCATGTTACAGCTGAAGTTGGAATTGCCTACCATGTACGCTGTCGTCCCACTTAATTGCACTTCCCAAAGGCATGACTGGTATCACTCCTTTCAAGTGAAGATCAATAGAAATTAGATTGAGAATAACATTTAGCGCTTCTGCCGGGCAGGATTTCTTCTTTCTTCTGAAATGCATATTTGTATACTTCGTATACAAAAATTTAAGAAAACCCACATTTAAAGGAAAAAAATTACTTTTTTTATAAAAAAAACATATTTTTAACAAAAAATTCACCAACCGGTTTTTAAACAATTGATACCGATATATTTCGAACTTCGAAGGCCCATATCTCGATTTCGGAGGCTGACTTCGAAAAACGGAGAACTTACTTTTTTACTTATGACTCAATTTCTTAAAAAAAGTTGGTTTGGTCCAATACCCAGCCGAGTGTTGCACAGTGTAATTAAATAAAAAATATTAATTTTTACTATGCGTTATTCCCTCAGTGCGCTTGGAGATAATGAGAGTGTGTTGGCGTCTGGCGACGGTACACAGTGGGACGTCCCCATATAAGCTGCGGCCAAAAGTAGTAACCGTACTAGAAATTCGCTGTTCGGCACTTAGGAATGAAGAAATGTGGAAAATTGTAAAATTCAACGCGCTACCACGCCCACAACTCTTGTGGGCGGAAATAGTAAATGTTATCCGATTTTGATGAAATTCAGAGCATATCGATGGCTGAGTGGAAGATCGACCTATCTCGGCAGCCAGTTCGAAACGCTCTATCTCAAAAAACTTTTCATGAACGCCCTATTTCATAATTCGTTTCAAAAACGCCCTATCTCAGCTGCCGATTCAAAAACGCCCTATATCAGCATATTTTCAATACATTTTGAAGTGAGATAGGGCGTTTTTGAACCGAATTTTTAGATAGGGTGTTTTTCAATTAAATTCTGAAATAGGGCGTTCTTGAAAAGTTTTTTGAGATAGAGCGTTTTCGCACTGGCTGCCGAGATAGGTCGTTCTTCCACTCAGCCATCGATATGCTGGTTTTAATGAGAAAGGCTTAAATCTGAAAGATCGTCAAAATCGGTTTACATTATCGTCCAGTAATTCTAGAAAAACAGGCGCAATTTAAAAAAAAAAATCTTTTAAGATGAAATTCGGTGTGCCCTGCTCGTTTAAGGCAAAATTTTCCAACTTGAAAGATAATAAAGAGGTTCTTATTACGGCGCCCACCTCCTACACAGCTTTCTTGGCTCCAAGTACTAAATTTTATGGATTTTGGAGAAACTGAACAGGCGCACTTATTTTATTTCTGAAATAGGTTCCTATTTCTTCATTTTAAAAATGACAAAGCGAAAAAATTTACAATACCTGCATACTAAATTATGTGCACGATATGTATTTACACTGAAACTTTCAATTTTACCTACATTTTATAGAACAAAAGCTGAGCTAAGGCAAGCAGGACTCTTGCCATCGAAAACGGATCCCGTCCAGAGTAACGTCCATTTTTTGCTGAACGTTGATTGGGAGCAATAGATTGGCGAGTCATTAATATCTACACCTTCTTTAATTTCCACTTTATATTGCATATTATTCATTTCATGTACATATCAGAGTCTTTCCTTTTTGCTCTACAATAAAAATTCAATAAATTTTACAGGAGGTGGGTCTATAAAAGGAAGAATAGAAGCTGAACTCGCAGTTCCTCGCAGCTGGAACTATGTGAGACATGACACGCATATTTAATGTTTACTTGTCCTAAGTATAATTTAGCTCGCTTCCTAGGTCCTTTTTAAATAAGGACTCGAAAAATTTTGCACTCACAAAATTATGTAGAATTTCAAGGTAAACTGATATATTCAAAAACTGCTCATCAATCAGATTGGCTTTTTATATATCCGCACAAGTGAAAAAATTAATTCAAATTATTTGCGACAAAATGAAAATCTTTTCCTACAAATTTATTTTTTCGCATTGCTCCTACTTTAAGCTCGTATCTTGATTGCAAATATGCATTTTCATCCAAAATTTTTTTTTGGTTTGGGTTAGCTGGATATTTTGCTATGCATCTGCGTAATTATTTTTTCAGAATTCGCATATCTGTTTTTACTACTTTTGACCGCTGTAGTCCCATAGTGCGGTAGTTTGTATAGTAGTATTTTGTTTCTCTTTGTAAATAGGATAAGTTCTGTTTTGACAGGGTTCACATTTAGGCCGCAGGCGTGCAGCCTTCCCAGGGTTCTTTCAAGTATTTCGCTAACGGTTAAAAGAAATGGGACTGCAGTTGCTATTAAGTAAAATATCATCCGTGTACGCCCACAACTTTGACTATTAATTAAATGACTGCAAAATTGTCAAAATTTAATTATAACAATCTCGAATTTTTCAATTTATCCAGCTACTTGTACTTGTTTTAAAATTTTTTTTTTAAAACCGCTTTAAGTAGGCTTAATGCAAGTAGGCTTACTTAACAAATCCATTGTACCAGAGCAGCAATAAAATTGCAGCAGCTTTGTTAATATTTAGTTAAATGCTATGGTTTTGAAAGTGACATGAAATACTTTGTGTCAAACGTATTACTCTCAAGGCTACATACCTAATTGAACTGATGGGGCTTAGGCCAAGAGGATGTTTTCACGAAAACCACAAATGCGAGAGCATTTTCGTTTATTAATTATCTAAATATTTCACGCTTGCATTAAGCTAAATAATTCTTTGCTTGTAAGCATTTCTGCTTCTAAAGTGAAAATGGATTACACTAAATAACACCTGGCAAAAGACTTTGTTGTGTCACCTTAACTTAAAACAGAAATCCATCCTAGTGGTTATGTTAATTAATTTCGCCAATTCACTCGCTTGTTTTTCTCTCTACTAAACAAACAATTTTGTCACATTAATCCAATGGTTTGCCAAGCTACGAAACAAAAACAAAAAAAAGAAGAAAAAGTTGGAATGGAATTCAAACTGTGACCCCACGTACGTGCGCAGCAGCTTTTAAAAAGCATATTATTAATTACTTCATTTCCACTTCTGCTTATTTTATAATAATATATTTTTTTTTTTTAATTAGTCTTTGACCTAATGGGCTGATGAGGGGGACGACGACATATGCTTGTTAGCTATACATTTCAATAATAAAAAAAAAATAAAAATAAAAAGAAAAAGTTAAGGCAACGAAATTTCAAACGTTGCGACGATACTAAATGCTGTCGGTGTGCAGTCGTGTGGGTGGGTGAGGCGTAAGTTTGCTGAAAATTCTCAAATTCATTAATCATTTTTAGTGGCGCCCACATAAGTAGGCTTTGCCTTTTTGGCTGCTTTGTTGGGCTGTCAACGTCGAAACGTGACTGTGGAAAAGAACGCATTCATGCTTACTGTACCTATGTATGCATGTATGTATATGTGTGTACCGTATTTTTGTGTTTGTTCAAAGAAAAATAAGTGCTAAACGGAATGACAAAGTGGCAAAGTTTCCGTTTGCCTTATTATTATTACATTGCCTACTTTTAGGCTGGCAGACAGCGCAGGGGACTAAGAAAAAATACGCACAAAAACCAAAAATAAATAAATGAGGTGTTTATGTGTTGTTGTTAAAAAACTATTTTTCACTTTGGCGACGAGTTTTTGTATTCGAATTTATTTTATTGTGTTCGTGTTTGTGTTATCTTTTGTGGCAAACCACACGCTGTTGCGCATTAGAGAACGATAGTAGTGGGTAGCACTTGTTAGCAACCGCAGCGGAAAATGGTGAAGAGTTGAAAAGTCATAGGCCGCGTTGGGCAAAAGGGTCAACAAACGAAATGAATGGACTAATGCTCCTTATTTATTTATTTATTTTTTTTGGTGTTGATGGGACATTTTTAACCACAGATCAGACACATTTTTTTAAAGAGAGTAAACGAGATAAGCGGGGTCACACAATAAATAACAATTGAGCGACACTTGAGCAGCTAAAAAGGAAAAAATCGAAAAAATAAAAAAATCGAGCCTTTGATAAATCGTCAGCTAAGCGCGCTAATCAGTTGCTGGCCGTGTTGCTAAGTGTGCTTGAGCATATTGAGAATATCAACGAAAAGTTGTGCGCAACAGGCAACACCCTTAAAAGATAATGATAAAGATTCTTCATTTCAAGAAAGTATCATTTAACTGTATACGCGGAAAAACCAGGGTGTTTTTAACTTAAGCGGAAAGGTTTGGTATTTTTAATCGTACGGCATGCAATATCTTCTACTAAACAAAAACGAAAGAAAAACCAAACAACTACTCAGCAAATGGTGACGGTTAGCTGCCTCAACCCAAATTTGTACACTAATTTTCAACGTTAAGCGTGACTAGAGCAATTGCCAGACAAACGCAGCGCGTTAATTAATCATTCGGAATGAATTGCTTGAACATGCGCAGCATTAATGCGTCACCTTAGCAACTGACACGTGGATAAGCCAATGTCAGTGCTAAGGATTTCTGCGATGCAGGAAAGAATGAAATGGGGGTTCATGAAATGCGCGTAAATAAAAATGTTGTGTTAAAAAAGAAAATAAAAGAAAACAGAAAGAAAAATCATGTTTTTCTTCACTTACCTCTAAAGATGCACGCCACTGTCAGATAACGACCATGACGTGGATCACATGCTGTCATCATATTCTTGGCATCGAATATTTGTTGCGTGAGTTCGGAGACAGTTAGTGCACGATATTGTTGCGATCCTTTGGCTGTGAGTGGCGCAAAGCCCGGCATAAAGAAGTGTAACCGGGGGAATGGCACCATATTCACGGCCAATTTACGTAGATCAGCATTTAATTGACCGGGGAAGCGCAGGCAAGTTGTGATACCAGACATTGTGACCTATGCATGGAAAAAGTTAAGTTAAAAAGGTAAAAAGTGTAAGATGGTTAGTCGTTAGTCGGCAGGCATTCTTAAGTAGGCAATAGATTGCGTATACGCCAGGGTGCATTGTTAGTGCAAGTGTAAAGAGTCGGGAGTTTGTACGCACGGTTGTTTGATGCACTATTAAGAAGTACACGTGAGTTTGATAAGAAAGGATTGTACATGGTCAATGTTTTCCAACGTGCATCATGGCAACATTGCGTTACTTGTGTTGCTGCTGAAGGGGTTAGAGAAAACTGTAGGTCCTGCAATTATCTATAAAAACTATTCTGACACTTTTGCTCTTAAGAATCCCCATTTCTGAGATATAGCGATTCAAAATTTTAGTAAAAGATATGTTCTCCATAAAATGCAACTCATAAGTTTGTATGATACTCCACTGAAGTGCTCATAATTTCTAAACTTTTTATTCAATTTACATGAGTATAGTCTTATTTTTTTTAGTAAAAGATCAAGCTTCGCTGTGCAAAAAGTTAACCAGTTCTTCCACGTTGATATTTGTACAGAAAGCCAATTTTATTTTTAAAATTTTGTTATTAAATTATTAAAAATTGTAGACTACTCAATGATTAGCTCACAAACTACTTATCCGGTTGGAAAATATCGTTCACATAGAAGATAGCAAATTTATTAAGCTTCACTGCTGTAAAACGAAGTTTGAGATTGGCGAGCCATAGCCAAAAAAAGCAATTAAGTGGGTGCACTATTTTCACATCTCGAAAACCCGCAATTTGCCACTATTTAAAAAACTATTCTAGTTTCTTATATTTTGACTACGTATTCTGCGGAAAATTAAATAAAAGAAATAATTTTGAAAGAGCTGAACAAAGCTCTAGCCGCATAAGAAAAAATTTTTAACAGTTTTTTTTTTTTTAAATTTCTTGTGTAATCGAATGTAGTACGAGAATCGTGTTGCTTGCAAACTACACGCGGTTTTTTGATGAGGAATATTTTGCCCGCAGACGTCATACCGCTATTGTAAATATTTCACTTGGTAATCGAACTCTTGAAATAAAGTCTGAAAATTGTTAAAAAGGCAGGGAAGGATAGATGTTGCTGAGTCAAAGCATAGCGAAATGTTAGCCTACAAGAAAAAAAAAACTTTTCTTAAAAAACTAAGCACTCTTTAAAATCTTTAGTCGCAGTACAAAGACACGTTATCGCCCGTTAACTTTTTACCACAAATAAAATGAAGCTCAGACCTGCTGGACTATCACTTTGTTCAGGGAAAATATACCTAGAGAATTCAAAGTTTGGTAAACCAGTTAAGGGTTAAAAGAATCGATCAACTTCTACTATTTTTACAAGTTTTTTTTTGTATGTGAAATCTACCACTATACATTTTTTCGAAGTCCGCTGCAGAGCTACGATATGTATACCGATGAATGTTGCATATACGCCTAGGGCAAGCAAAGCTCAAATGCAAAGTACTAAAAACAAACACACTAAATACTAGTTGGTTTATTATACTTTGATATTGTACAAGGGAATATATAGTTTCAAAAAAAAAAATACAATAACAAATGTCAAAATATTACAGCCTTTCCACCTAAAACCGAATTTAAAAAATTGTCATAAATTTGCATACAAGCACGAGCAAACCCATACATTTGTTTTTTTATTTTGGAGAGTTGAGTAAAAACTATACATTTATTATATTAAATCTCACAAAAAAAGTAACCAAAAATATAGTGCATTATTAATATGCAAAACGTGGCGCAGAAATTTTAATTGCAGAAAATTCGATGAAGCGACTGAAGGGCACGTGCAAAAATATGGTTTATCTACGAAACTTGGACAAATTTTTTTAGATTATGCGGAATTTGTAAGCATTTGAAATTTACGATGCCCTTGGGAAAACAACGAAATATAAAAATTAGCGCATCATAATTTTAAGAATTTGAAAAAGCTCCCTTCAATTAAGTGAATTTATAAGCATTTTTTTTACTACGCATATGCACATATGTACGTATTTACATGCATAATGATGTACTCGAACTAAGGCACATTAAACAGGTAGCAGCATTAGAGCAAAAACAATAAGCTGCGTGTATTTTGTTGTAGATTTTGTACTCTAAACAAAATCCGATATTTCAAAGTAAAATGTAAACAATAAATACAATTCATGGACCACTTCGAATGAAACAAATCTAAATTGCAAACCTGCTGCTGCTAACTATTACATGGGCCTAGACTCGAACATTTACTTGCGGTATCGGTCTTATCTATAGCACGCCATTTCAAAGTGATATTGTTTGCCATTTAAAATTATTTTTGAATTTTTAAGAATTTTCAATTAAAATACAGCTCTTTCTCTAACAAAGCCTACATAAACCGAAGTGTAAAACTTTATAGAAAACTACAAAAAATGCAACAAATTTTCACCTAATTTTAAAATTTTTTCTTTGAAGTGTTCAAATTCTTTTGAGTATACAGCTTTCTAGCCTTCTCAATTTGCAAGCTTCAAGTGGCTAAAAATTACCGTTGATTTTTTAGATTTTTTTGTCGCATTTGTTTCCATATAACGAGTAAACAGAATTTTGTTTTATATGGATAGAAAACCAAAACACCTGCGGCAAAAAAAACGTCTAAAAAATCAACGGCAATTTTTTTGTAGTTTCTTACAAAGTTTCAAATTCTTAAGATTAAATTAAAAAAAAAAAAAACTAAACAAAGGGGGCTTGCACTTTGACTTGCGTGCTATAGATATGACCGATACTGTATATGCAAATATATGCTTTGCAACAGCAGCAATTAATTTTGCCCTTTTCAAGCGGTTTAGCTTGCTCTTTTGCTTTAGATGGAAATTACACTACAACACCACAATTCTACTTACGGACACCAGATGATTCAAATCTTCATAGGTGGGACATAGTAGACGCAACTTGTGATAACAAATGTCATACAATGCCTCATTATCGATGCAAAATGTTCCATCGGTGTTTTCGCACAATTGATGTGCCGACAGTGTGGCATTGTAGGGCTCAACAATTACCTCAGATACCTGTGCCGTATGCCACAGAGGAAGGCGTATGGCCACAAGCAAACACATGAGATATATATGTATGTATGTATACAAATACATATTCAAATACATATACGTTGGTAAATACCAGGCAAACGGCATTGTCGTCCAGTCATGCAACCGGGTCGGTCATCAATTGTCGTCGTTGGTGGTTGGTTTCAGTGTGTACAGGAGGTAATGTGGTGGACAGGGGGTGAATGCGGAAAAAAGATCGAGGGGAAACAAGAGAAAATCCATTAGTATTGCTTGGTATATTGGTCAACTTACGGATACAAGATGATTCAAATCGCCATAGGTGGGCGATGTCAGCTTCAACGTGCGGAAGCAGATGTCGTACAGAGCCTCGTTGTCGATGCAGAATGTCCCATCGGTATTCTCGACAAGTTGATGTATGGACAATGTGGCATTGTACGGTTCTACAACGGTATCGGAAACCTGCAAAGCGCCAATGAATGAGCAAAATGTTGCAAGCAAGCATGCAGGCAGCCAGGTAGCCAAGCAAGTAGTCAGTTCGGAAAGCAGTATTCCGGTTCGTTTGATGTGCCACAGATGGTCAGGCAATGAATCCCAGCGTATTGGTGAAGTTTATGTTTGATTTGTTGTTGTTTGTGAGCATTGAGCATTAGTTTTGTTGTTAGATATGTGCATATTGCGGTCAGCGGTTTTAGCAGCAGTCGCAGCAGCAATCGTGGTAGTTGCAATAGCCAGTGCCCAGATCGTACGACCATTCAGCAAGCGTTGAAGTATTGTGCGGTATAACAGGCCACCGGCGTAAATGAGCAGGTAAATAAAGCAGGTGTTGTGCATACAAAGCGCGTTGGCAGCATGAGATTGTCGCAAGCAAGTAGTATGGAAAAAAAGAAAAGAAATAACATTTTTGGTAAGTTATACATACACGTCAATATTTCTTTTAAACGTTGAATTACTGTTGTTATGACTAGTTAAATAGCAATAAGATGCACTAATGATTTAAGTTAAAATATAAAATTGAATAAACTCAGTTTTATTATATTTTCATAGACTAGCAGTGGGATTTTGACAATCGATAAGCTTAGTTTTCGTCGCCAAAATGCTTTAAATGTAAAGCAGTGGGGCCCAAAAGTATGCAACATGAAAAAGTAACAGATGCAATGTTTAATCAGCCAAATCTGGCAATGTGAGGGACTTGGAACAAGATGTTGCACGTTCTTAGGCGCGCCGGCTATTCATTTAGAGATTTGTGGTGATACAAATTAGGGATAACGATTTTACGATTTTCAGAAACCCATTGCTGGTATTTGTAAATTTTGCTTTGTTTACTGAATCATATTTAGTGGAAATATTCTTGTTATATCATACCTTACTTTGGTAATTTTTGAATAAATGTTACCTGGGGTATTCCACCGTCACGGGCGGGACATTTGTACAGTAAAAATCTACTTTCTGTTTTAAATTTAATTATAAAGTACTCAAAATTCTACATTTTGATAAAGCTACAACTAATTCACTATTATATGAGTTATTACCAAATACGAAAAAAAAGTCCAACTTATTTTTATATCGGAAAAAAATCTGAGTTATTTCCTCTGTCACGGGTGGGACAAAAAAGAACCTGCTTTTAGGAGCAGATGTATTTTACGGAAACTCTGCGAATTTATTTTACTTTTCTGTGTGGACTTGATGTCTTGAAATAAAAAAAAATGAATCACGAATACTAACAAAGCAAAAACTTACACAAAAATTATTGTTTTATTAAGGCTCTGTCACATACAGCTTTCGCGTCGCTTTGGCGTTGCTTCATTTTGACAAAAACGCAAGTGCCTTTATAAAAAAATATCTGAAATTTCGCTGTCACGGGTGGGACAACGTTTGTCACGGAGATTTTTTCTAAAAAATCTGAATAAAAAGTTAAAAAGTTTTTTGGGTGTAATTGTTAAAGTTTGTTTAATTTGTATAATTTTTGTACGAACTTTGGAACGAGGATTTAAAGGGTGCTATGTAATGTGCTAGACTTTTATAAAAAAAAACTTTAAATATTAAATAAAGAAAAGAAAAAACAAAAACTGGACAAAATGTCCCTTAACCCCCAGCGGTTCTTTGTATAAGACCATATACACTTTTTGAATTTGAATTTAAAAAAATAAAACTAATTGTATATTTTTCGAGAAATCTATCGAAAAATATACAATACTGTGTAAAACGAACGGCCAATAAATAAAAAGATAAAATAAAACTAATTGTGAAAATTATCTGGGTTTTGGTGAAGTACATTTGTTTTGCATGAAATACGTAAGATCAACATGAAGAGATTCCGGGAATGCATTAGTTCGTTCCCAGTAGAAATAGTTCAAAACCGGTTCTTGTGTATACGATCGTATACAAACAGATCTGACACCTCCAATCAGATTTTTAAGAAAAATTCTTAGTATGCAGTTATATAACTAATTCAACTTTAGTATAACACAGGGTAAGGTTGAAGGTGCTAGAAAATTGCGTTGATTTCTGGCAATTTTTTCACGCAGGTTCTTCCATACAAAATATGTCCGACAATTATTTTTTGTATGGAAAAAATGAGCAACACCTTCCACTAAAAAATTGCCAAAAATCAACGCGATTTTCTTCATATGTTTGTTTACGAGCATATACAAGAACCAATTCGACAAATTTTTGGGGGGACAAAAATTTGGGGGGAGGGTTAACTTAATCAGCTGACCGCAAGATATCCACACGTTCGTTAGTATTATAAAAATAATCTGGAGCTTATTGTTGAAACATATTTCATATCACATTTCTTGAACGTGCAATATGCAATATTTCCATAAACAGCCCATAGAATATCTTAAATAAAACTGAGATCAGTTTATATTTAGAAGCATATGTAGCTAACGGTGTGATGGGGTAGCTTAAGAGTGGAGTATTTGTTGTTGTTATTTGCTGACCGTCCGCTTGTATGTTTGTATGTACAAAACACGAATGCACTGAATATCTATCAGGTAAGCAAAAACATAGGACGCTTTGCTAAGTCACTTGTTTTATAGAAAACACAAAGTGCAAACCCAAAGTCCACCCGGACGTATGAGTAACATTTATTGCAGTTGTGTGTATGCAAATGGTCAAATGGCAAACAAGTACCTACACACACATATCAACCAAAGCCATATGGATATACATACATATGCGTGTGTGCGTACGTATGCATATGTTATATTATTATTTATTTATAATGAGTACTAGTGTACACTTGCGGCTCTACATATGCATGCATGCATGTTCATTTGCTCTTTGATTTATTGCTAATACTTTCCGTACCTGCACAAGTCGGACTATAGTATTAGCCTTCTTGTTATGACTGTTGTTTTGTGCTCATTTCCATTTCCAATTCCATATTCACTTACACTACATATTATCTATTATGGCACACCTACGCATAGTTGAACAACAACAACGACCTAGGCATCCACAAATCTATCATAATTTGTAAACGCTACGACACGCACGTAATTAGAAATGAATTTCATACACAATAATACCCAATGTTCATGCTGGCCTTAAGCGTTAGTCATACGTTGTAGTCATACATACATACATACATATACAACGTTTAGGTATTTAAGTATGTACGTAGGTATGCATGTATGCATACATATATAATAAAATTATATGAAGCATAAGTCTGTTGTTTTGTAAAACCAGATATTTAGATTTGACCTACTATGTATGTATGTACATACATCATGCTGGTGTTGCACGAAAATCCTATTGCTTTCGCACAAACACATGCACATTTGCTCAAGTAAATATACTCAAACTTTAGAAAAGCCCTCAAAGGTGAAAATGCTCGCATATACGTAAACAGATTTATCAATAAGTGAATATTAAATATGAATGCGTTTGCTGGTGCTATTATGATGCGTTTATACGAGCACGTAGAGCAGGATGTCCTTACTTACCCATACTGCATTTGCGACTTCCAATTGGTTGCATAAATTTAAATCTTTTTAAGTGCATGTGCTTTTGAAAATGTTGGTTTTGTGACACATTAACTTGCGGTTAATAATGACAAACAAACGGCTGGTGTAGGTTAAAACTTCACTTCCTATAAATCAACCAGCGATAACCTTCATGAGCTAGGGTTCGGCAATTTTAGGATTTTTTAACTGAATACAATTCAGTTCGGATTCTTTGGATATTTGTAAAATTTTAAAATTGAAAATTAAAAGATCGGCGGGAGAGTTCAAGTTTGTTGCGAAGCGTGGGACTATGATCGGAAGTCCAAAAAAAAGTTGTCAAAAAATCCAGCTCAGTGATATGGGATTTTTTGAAGCTTCAACAACATTTTCTTAAAACCTTCCACAATATTGGACCTTCATTTTGAGTTTTAACAGTGGTGATCAAAGTATTGCGTTTTAAGAGTATTTTTGATAGACGAACAGCCAATGAAGAGCGTTACAATAAATCAATAAACGAAAAAAAAACTACAGCGATAGAAACTTTTAATATTTAGACGTAAATAACTAAATGTTGATATTTATAATAGGCCTAAAGCATAAAGATAAAGCTTTCAGGCTAATTTACTCGCGTACCATGGCGTATGAGTGACATGAATGTAAACATAGCACACGGCGATATTTCGATAATCTAGGTGGGCAAAATTATTGAAGTGAAACTTCTTTAGCGGCGGTTGGTTGGTTGGGAGTAAGTTGGCAAATTCAACGGAAATTGCACACGGAAATGGTGCAACGGAAATGGTTTGACCTGAAACAAGTTCTTCTTGAGTGTATGCAAATGGTATTAATTTAACAAAAATTTGCTAAAAAAAAGTTAAAGAATAACACTTAGAAAAAGACCAATACAAGAATGAAAGTAAAGGTGACTACGTACATAGATAACGAAAAGGATAAAGACAAAGGTAAAAATAAAAACAGATGCATAGATATAAAAGCAAAAATGAAAAGCAAGGTAAATTTAAATACTTCACTTATATAAGGTGAAGCGAAATATGTAGATGGAGAAAATGATAAACATAAAAGTAAACACAAAGATAAATATAAAGAAAAATATGAGGATGAGGATATCGATAAAAATAAAGATGAAGATAGAGGAAGAAAGATTAAAATATATATATAATTATAGAAAAAGGATATAGACGGAAACACAAAGACCCATTCTGGGAACTATTTTGGAATTTTAGAGATCCTCGGGACTTATCGATGTAATAATCGATATTTTAAACGATTTTGTTATCGATATTATTATTGGTTTTGCTATAGATCTTTTATCGATTATTTATCGATGTCATCGATTTTGTTATCGATATTCATACGATATTGTTATCGATTTGGTTATCGATTTTGTTATCGAATATTTATCAATTTTGTTATCGATATTTTTATCGAACTTGTTTTCGATTACTTATCGATTTTCTTATCGACCTTTTCTATCGATTTTGTTATCGA